TTTTAAAGATTTTATTTATTATTTGAGAGAAAAAAAGAGGGGGGCAGGGGGAGAAAATGAGCAGGAGAGGGGTGTGAGAGGAGCAGAGGGAGAGGGAGAACCAGGCTTCTTGCTGAGCAGGGAGCCCAACTTGGGGCTGGATCCCAGGACCGCAGGATCAAAACCTAAGCTGAAGGCAGATGCTTAACTAACTGAACCACCCAGACACCCCTAAAGTGGGTCTCTCTTAGTTGGTATATAGCTGGGTCTTACTTTTTCATCCAATATGATAATCTCTGCTTTTTTTATTGGAGTGTTCATACTATTTACTTTAATGTAATTAACAATAGGATAGGGCTTAAATTTGTTATTTTGTTATTTTTTCGATTTGACTCATTTGTTCTTTATATCCCTTTTTCTCTTATCCTGCCTTCTCTTGTAAATGACTATTTAAAAAAATAATTCCATTTACCTCATGACTTATTAGCTATGCTTTTTTTAGTGGTTGCTACAGGATTTATAATATATAATTTTAATTTATTGTAGTCTCCATCCAAGTGATGTTATGCCACTTCGTGCATATAGTGTAAGAACTTTGTAATGGTATACCTCCATATCCTCTCTTGTTTTTGTGCTCTTGTTGTCATACATTTTACTTCTGTATAAACCACAAAGTTTATGTTATTATTTTTCATTTAACAGAGATTAAACTAGGGAAAATATATTTTATTTTGCCCATTCATTTACTATTTCTGGTGCTTGACTTTTCTTTATTTAGATCTAAATTTCCATATATTATTATTTTTCTGCCTGAAGAACTTCCTTTATTATTTTTCATTGTGCAGGTTTGGTGGAGGTGAATTCTCTCAGCTTATGTTTTGATCTATATTTTGTCTATTTTCTTTCTTTTTAAAATTTTATTTATTTATTCATAAGAGATACAGGCAGAAGGATAAACAGGCTCCCTGCAAGGAGCCCGATGTGGAACTTGATCCCAGACCCCCGGGATCACATTCTGAGCCAAAGGCAGACGCTCAACCACTGAGCCACCCAGGCATCCCTATTTTGTCTATTTTCAAAAGATGTTTACTGTGTATAGAACTCTAGATTTACAGGTCTTTTCATTGTCTTTTGGATAATACACTTTCTGAAGAGAAATCTGTTATACTTGTCTTTGTTTCTCTATATAATAGGTCTTTTTTAACTTTTCCTTTTGGTTTCTTTTAAGATTGTTTTTTAAATTACTGGTTTTCATCAATATATGTATGCCTGACTATTTAATAACTTTTTGTCTCCTTGTTCTGTTACTTTAAGAGAGGAGTGTTCTATGACTATAAATTTGTCAATTGCTCCTTTTAAATCTACAGGGTTATTTACATTTTGAGGTTATATCATTCATTGTATACATTCCTGGTTGTTATTATCTTCTGGGTGGAGTGTAATTTTAATCATTCTATACTGTTTTCTTTATCTCTACTTACAGTTTTGCATCATACTTTATCTCATATTAATATTGCTATACCACCTCTTCTGGGATGCCTTGGTGGCTCAGCAGTTGGGTGGCTGCCTTTGTCTCAGGTCGTGATCCCGAGGTCCGGGATCGAGTTCCACATTGGGCTCCTGTGAAGAGCCTACTTCTCCCTCTGCCTATGTCTCTGCCTCTCCCTCTGTGTCTCTCATGAATAAAAAAATAAAGCTTTAAAAATATATATTGCTCTACCACCTTTTCTTTAGTATAAGTCAGGTATATTTTTTGCTATTCCATTATTTTCAACCTTTCAATATAAATTTGCTTAAGTGTGTCTGTCTCTTATAAGTAGCATACAACTATATTAATTTTAAAACTGATACCTGAGTTTAACATTGCATTCATTGAAATTATTGATGTATTTAGAATCATTTCAGTTGGTTTTTTTAATCATGCTTTTTCTTTCCTTTCTTACATTTTTAAAAAGATTTTATTTATTCATGAGAGACACAGAGAGAGAGAGGCAGAGACACAGGAAGAGGGAGAAGCAGGCTCCATGCAGGGTATGATGTGGGACTCAATCCTGGGACTCCAGGATCACGCCCCAGGTTGAAGGCAAGGGGTAAACCGCTGAGCCACCCACCCAGGGATCCCCTCTTCCATTTTTTCTACCTTCCACTGTTCTGATAACATTTTCACAATTTTCCTTTTCTCTGTGCTGCTTTGAAAGTTATACACTCTATACCTATTCTTTTAGCATGCCCTTAAAATGTTAATTTTGATATTTGAATTTACAAAGCCTATAGTTCATCAACCACTACCTTCCTCCATAAAGATACAATGACCTAAGAATGCTTTAATTCTCATCTTCCCACCCATCTTATTTTATTTTTCTTAAAGATTTTATTTATTTATTTATTTATTTATTTATTTATTTATTTATTTATTTGAGAGAGAGAGAGAGAGAGAGAGAGAAAACGAACAAGCAGGGGGTTGCTGCAGGGAGAAGGAGGCTCTCCGCTGAGCAGGGAGCCAGATGAGGGGCCTGATCCCAGGGTTCCCAGATCATGATGTCAGCTAAAGCCACATGCTTAACCTACTGAGCCACTCAGGCATCTCCTGATCATCTTATTTTAAGTAGTATTTTAGTTTTACTTTATTTCAAATCCCATGAAATTATTTATCATGGCTATTAATTTGTACTGCCTGTTTTTATTTATATTTACCAATATTTTACCTATTTCTTTGCTCACCATTTCTTCTTGTATTTTGATACTTCTTTTGGGTTTCATTTTGCTTCTTTAAAAAATCTTTAGTAACTCACTCATTGAGACAATATGAATAATAACTCACAGTCTCTGAATATCTAAAAATATATTTATTTTATCCACAAAGTTCATTTAGTTAAACGCAGAATTCTATGTTGGAAAATATTTTCTTTCAGCATTTTGAAGACATTATTCCATTATTTAAGGCATGTATTGGTGCTGACAAGAAATCTTCTAGTCTAATTATATTTCTTTTGTAAATAAATAGGCATTTTTTTTCCTGGCAGCATTTAAGATATTTATTATCTGTGATGCTGTGCAGGTTCACTATGATAGGTCTGCATATAGGTTTATTTAATTTTTCTGCTTAGGATTCTTTCTGATCCTTCAATCTAATGATTCATGTACACCCTTAATTTTAAAAATGTACCTGCTCAAATATTGCTTCTTCCTGATTATCTCTAGTCTGTCCTCCTGGAACTTTTATTAGATAGTCCCCTTCTCACCCTATCCACCAACTTCTTTTTTACCTTTCCAACCTCTTTACCTGTCTCTGGTGTGATTTCCTTTGTATCTATCTTCCAAATGTACTAATTCTTTCTTCATCTGCATTTGCTTTCTCTTCAAAGCATATATTAAATATATTAAATTTAATATATTAAATTATTATAAAAATATTAAGCATTTAATTTATATATAATGTAATACATTGAATTTAATATATTTAACTTTAATACATTATATTTCATATATATTTATTTTATCTATAATACATATTTATTTTATATTATTAATATGTTATATTTAATATATAACTAATGTATTTAACTTAAAAATTGTATGTGAAATTAAATTTAAATTTAATATATATTTATATATTTAACTTAGAGTATCTATTCATTCTTCAACTTTTTAAACAAGTATTTCTTTTAAAGCCTCTTTCTGATTGGCTTGGTATTTCTAGTTCCTAGGCTTTAAAATTTCTCACATATTACATCTGATCACATTGCCTCAAAGAAGTTCATTTTCTTGGGAAGTCTGTAATTTTTTTAAACATGAATTCATCTTCTGTAGACATTTTTATGGGAGTCCCAAATATGCTAGATTGTAAAATGCCTCTCCCTGAGGCAGTTTCACATTCACCTTTGTCAAGACTTTAAGGGTTTCACTGATTTCAAACCAGATGTTTACTGTTAACACCTTGGCTCAGTGTCCTCACCATTAGAGTCAATTGAACGGTGGTGACCACACCTGCATGTTGCAGGTCTGGGATTCCAACTTCTCTCAGGTGGGACTTTTTCCTAACCATTGCCCAGAGGATACAGGAAGCTCCTTGATACTTCCCCACACTGATGGGCCTACATTCTCTGGTCCTTCATAACCTCCCAACTCTATATTAGTTCTACTTTGCATGCAGAAGGCTTGTGATCTGTTCCCTCCTTTTCATATGGTTCTTACACCTCAGCCCACAATCATTTATGCCTCTATCTAGTTCTGAAATGCCTGAGAAATGTCTTAGTTTTAGTTCTACTTACTGCTAAATTTAAATTCTTTTGTTTCTGGCACCTAAAGATTTTTCATTCTTGTCCTGCGTTTGGTCATATATTTATATTACAATGATTTCACCCTTATTTTTTATGTTTTACTTTTTTGGGGGGATGTAGACTTCAGATCAGTTTGTAGGTTCTTGATCTGCCATATTGACAAGAAGTCAACTCCAAAATAAGAATAACTCAAAAAGCAAGAAAGACAAAGTATTAACAAGCCTAGTCCAGAGGGATGACTCCTTATAAGTTCACATTTAAACCAATCACTCTAAGAAACTTAATTGTCCTATGAAATTTCTTCAGAAATGAACACAATATTCAAACTGGTCAACACAATAGCAAAGAAAGGAACTACAACTATCTTTTAAGCTTTACCTATATTTACTTTCAGATAAAAATTAAACTTCCTACCTTATTTTTATGCTAATTAAAAATTCCTATATTTGAAGGGATGTACTATCAAATAAACAAATTGGTAAGTATAGGTTTGTTTATATTTACTTTCGCATTGGTGATGATACCAAATTGCTTTAAAATTGGCACCAGTAATTTTGACAAAGACTGAAGCTAATATAAGTTTTAAAAAAACAAAAATAATTAGCTATATATCTATTTAAAGTACTTATATCATGCAAGAGACAGGCATGGCAGAAAAATGTAGAATAAAATCAAACAGTAATCTGTATATAATAAAGTTCCATAAAAATTTCATAAATAATAATCATCAAAGTAACATACGTTGGAAAATGCTTGACATGTCTGGTTTATTTCCTTTTGTCTGTGCAGAAGTTTCTGGTTGAGGTACAGGAATTCTACAAAAGATGGAAAAAAGATAACCAAGAGTTATAAAAAGACACTTGAATGAAAAAACTAATTGGATCCATTCAGAATTTACTCTGATTCAGTAAGTACATTTACAGAATATATAGGTTTAGCTTCTTAAAGTAATGCACTAAAAATTCAAGGAAAATATATACAAATTATGAATATGCATTTATAACCTAATTCAAATACTGCAATAGATTCTTTTAAAAAGATTTTTATTTATTTATTTGAAGGAAAGAGCAAGCAAGCAAGCGAACAGGAAGAGAGGCAGATGGGAAGGGAGAGGAAGAAGGAAAGAATCCCAAGCAGACTCTGGCTCAGTGCAGAGGCAGACACAGGTTTTGATCTCACCACCCTGAGATCATGACCGGAGCCAAAACCCAGAATCCAATGCTTATAAAACTGAGCCACCCAGGCACCCTAAATACTATTGCAGATTTAATGTTCTTTTAATAAGGAGTACTCCACAAAAGGAAGTATTTAACTCTATTAAATATCAACAAGGAGAAGAGGGGCAAGATGGCGGAAGAGTAGGGTCCCCAAATCACCTGTCCCCACCAAATTACCTAGTAACCTTCAAATCATCCTGAAAATCTACTAATTCGGCCTGAGATTTAAAGAGAGACCAGCTGGAATGCTACAGTGAGAAGAGTTCGCGCTTCTATCAAGGTAGGAAGACGGGGAAAAAGAAATAAAGAAACAAAAGGCATCCAAGGGGGAGGAGCCCCGCGAGGAGCCGGGCTAAGGCTGGGGAGAGTGCCCCCAGGACAGGAAAGCTCCGTTCTGGAGAAGCAGGAGCTTCACCAATCTTCCCGGGTGGAACGGCGCCCGCAGGGAGTTAGAGCAGGACCCAGGAGGGCGGGGATGCCCTCGGGCTCCCTGGGACACTAACAGAGCAGCTGCGCCCCGGGGAGAGTGCGCCGAGCTCCCTAAGGGCTGCAGCGCGCACGGCAGGACACGGGAGCAGCTCGGAGGGGCTCGGGCGCGGCCGGAGAGCGAATCCAACAGCGCAGGCCGGGGAGCACTGGGCACCGGGACACAGCCCAGGATTCGGCCGCCCCCCGGGACAGGCAGAGGCCGAGAGGGCCCAGAACAGCAAGGACGCTCCTGCCTCAAGGTGAGCAGATCAGCGGCCCCGCCCCGGAGCCTCCAGGCCCTGCAGACGGAGAGCTCAGTAGTTACTGCGGGAGCTGGATCCAGGACTCCAGAGCTGGCCCCACCACTGTGGTTGTTCCTCCTGGGTCCTCACGGGGTAAACAACCCCCACTGAGCCCTGCACCAGGCAGGGGGCAGAGCAGCTCCCCCAAGTGCTAACACCTGAAAATCAGCACAACAGGCCCCTCCACCAGAAGACGAACTAGATGGACAAGTTCCAGGGGAAGTCAAGGGACTTAAAGTATACAGAATGAGATGATACTCCCCCGTGCTTTTTGTCTTTTTTTTTTTTTTGATTTCTGATTGATTCCCCCACCCTTTTTTCCCCCTTTCTTTCTTTTTCTTTCTCTTTGTCTTCTTTTTTCTTCCTTTTTTCTTTTTTCTTCTCCTCTTTTCTGTCCTTCTTTCTCTCCACTCTTTTTCTCCTTTCCCAAGTACAACTTGTTTTTGGCCACTCTGCACTGAGCAAAATGACTAAAAGGAAAACCTCACCTCAAATGAAAGAATCAGAAACAGTCCTCTCTCCCACAGAGTTACAAAATCTGGATTACAAGTCAATGTCAGAAAGCCAGTTCAGAAGCACTATTATACAGCTACTGGTGGCTCTAGAAAAAAGCATAAAGGACTCAAGAGACTTCATGACTGCAGAATTTAGATCCAATCAGGGAGAAATGAAAAATCAATTGAAAGAGATGCAATCCAAACTAGAAGTCCTAACAATGAGGGTTAACGAGGTGGAAGAACAAGTGAGTGACATAGAAGACAAGTTGATGGCAAATAGGGAAACTAACGAAAAAAGAGACAATTAAAAGACCATGAAGACAGATTAAGGGAAATAAACGACAGCCTGAGGAAGAAAAACCTATGTTTAATTGGGATCCCCGAGGGTGCCGAAAGGGACAGAGGGCCAGAATATGTATTTGAACAAATCATAGCTGAAAACTTTCCTAATCTGGGAAGGGAAACAGGCATTCAGATCCAGGAAATAGAGAGATTCCCCCCTAAAATCAATAAAAACCGTTCAACACCTCGACATTTAATAGTGAAGCTTACAAATTCCAAAGATATAGAGAAGATCCTTAAAGCAGCAAGAGACAAGAAATCCCTGACTTTTATGGGGAGGAGTATTAGGGTAACAGCAGACCTCTCCACAGAGACCTGGCAGGCCAGAAAGGGCTGGCAGGATATATTCAGGGTCCTAAATGAGAAGAACATGCAACCAAGAATACTTTATCCAGCAAGGCTCTCATTCAAAATGGAAGGAGAGATAAAGAGCTTCCAAGACAGGCAGGAACTGAAAGAATATGTGACCTCCAAACCAGCTCTGCAAGAAAATTTAAGGGGGACTCTTAAAATTCCCCTTTAAGAAGAAGTTCAGTGGAACAATCCACAAAAACAAGGACTGAATAGATATCATGATGACACTAAACTCATATCTGTCAATAGTAACTCTGAACGTGAACGGGCTTAATGACCCCATCAAAAGGCGCAGGGTTTCAGACTGGATAAAAAAACAGGACCCATCTATTTGCTGTCTACAAGAGACTCATCTTAGACAGAAGGACACCTACAGCCTGAAAATAAAAGGTTGGAGAACCATTTACCATTCAAATGGTCCTCAAAAGAAAGCAGGGGTAGCCATCCTTATATCAGATAAACTAAAATTTACCCCGAAGACTGTAGTGAGAGATGAAGAGGGACACTATATCATACTTAAAGGATCTATCCAACAAGAGGACTTAACAATCCTCAATATATATGCCCCGAATGTGGGAGCTGCCAAATATTTAAACGTATTAATAACCAATGTGAAGACATACTTAGATAATAATACACTTATACTTGGTGACTTCAATCTAGCTCTTTCTACCCTCGATAGGTCTTCTAAGCACAACATCTCCAAAGAAACGAGAGCTTTAAATGATACACTAGACCAGATGGATTTCACAGATATCTGCAGAACTTTACATCCAAACTCAACTGAATACACATTCTTCTCAAGTGCACATGGAACTTTCTCCAGAATAGACCACATACTGGGTCACAAATCGGGTCTGAACCGACACCAAAGATTGGGATCGTACCCTGCATATTCTCAGACCATAATGCCTTGAAATTAGAACAAAATCACAGCAAGAAGTTTGGAAGGACCTCAAACACATGGAGGTTAAGGACCAACCTGCTAAAAGATGAAAGGGTCAACCAGGAAATTAAGGAAGAATTAAAAAGATTCATGGAAACTAATGAGCATGAAGATACAACCGTTCAAAATCTTTGGGATGCAGCAAAAGCAGTCCTAAGGGGGAAATACATCACAATACAAGCATCCATTCAAAAACTTGAAAGAACTCAAATACAAAAGCTAACCTTACACATAAAGGAACTAGAGAAAAAACAGCGGATAGATCCTACACCTAGCAGAAGAAGAGAGTTAATTAAAATTCGAGCAGAACTCAACAAAATCGAGACCAGAAGAACTGTGGAACAGATCAACAGAACCAGGAGTTGGTTCTTTGAAAGAATAATAAGATAGATAAACCATTAGCCAACCTTATTAAAAAGAAGAGAGAGAAGACTCAATAAAATCATGAATGAGAAAGGAGAGATCACTACCAACACCAAGGAAATACAAACGATTTTAAAAACATATTATGAACAGCTCTACGCCAATAAATTAGGCAATCTAGAAGAAATGGACGCATTCCTGGAAAGCCACAAACTACCAAAACTGGAACAGGAAGAAATAGAAAACCTGAACAGGCCAATAACCAGGGAGGAAATTGAAGCAGTCATCAAAAACCTCCCAAGACACAAGAGTCCAGGGCCAGGTGGCTTCCCAGGGGAATTCTATCAAACGTTTAAAGAAGAAACCATACCTATTCTACTAAAGCTGTTTGGAAAGATAGAAAGAGATGGAGTACTTCCAAATTCGTTCTATGAGGCCAGCATCACCTTAATTCCAAAACCAGACAAAGACCCCACCAAAAAGGAGAATTACAGACCAACATCCCTGATGAACACAGATGCAAAAATTCTCAACAAGATACTAGCCAATGGGATCCAACAACACATTAAGAAAATTATTCACCATGACCAAGTAGGATTTATCCCCGGGACACAAGGCTGGTTCAACACTCGTAAAACACTCAATGTGATTCATCATATCAGCAAGAGAAAAACCAAGAACCATATGATCCTCTCATTAGATGCAGAGAAAGCATTTGACAAAATACAGCATCCATTCCTGATCAAAACTCTTCAGAGTGTAGGGATAGGGGGAACATTCCTCAGCATCTTAAAAGCCATCTACAAAAAGCCCACAGCAAATATCATTCTCAATGGGGAAGCACTGGGAGCCTTTCCCCTAAGATCAGGAACAAGACAGGGATGTCCACTCTCACCACTGCTATTCAACATAGTACTGGAAGTCCTAGCCTCAGCAATCAGACAACAAAAAGACATTAAAGGCATTGAAATTGGCAATGAAGAAGTCAAACTCTCCCTCTTCGCCGATGACATGATACTCTACATAGAAAACCCAAAAGCCTCCACCCCAAGATTGCTAGAACTCATACAGCAATTTGGTAGCGTGGCAGGATACAAAATCAATGCCCAGAAGTCAGTGGCATTTTTATACACTAACAATGAGACTGAAGAAAGAAATTAAGGAGTCAATCCCATTTACAATTGCACCAAAAGCATAAGATACCTAGGAATAAACCTAACCAAAGAGGTAAAGGATCTATACCCTAAAAACTATAGAACGCTTCTGAAAGAAATTGAGGAAGACACAAAGAGATGGAAAAATATTCCATGCTCATAGATTGGCAGAATTAATATTGTGAAAATGTCAATGTTACGCAGGGCAATTTACACGTTTAATGCAATCCCTATCAAAATACCATGGACTTTCTTCAGAGAGTTAGAACAGATTATTTTAATATTTGTGTGGAATCAGAAAAGACCCCAAATAGCCGAGGGAATTTAAAAAAAAAACATAGTTGGGGGCATCACAATGCCAGATTTCAGGTTGTACTACAAAACTGTGGTCATCAAGACAGTGTGGTACTGGCACAAAAACAGACACATAGATCAATGGAATAGAATAGAGAACCCAGAAGTGGACCCTGAACTTTATGGTCAACGAATATTTGATAAAGGAGGAAAGACTATCCATTGGAAGAAAGACAGTCTCTTCAATAAATGGTGCTGGGAAAATTGGACATCCACATGCAGAAGAATGAAACTAGACCACTCTCTTGCACCATACACAAAGATAAACTCAAAATGGATGAAAGATCTAAATGTGAGACACAGTTCTGTCAAAATCCTAGAGGAGAACACAGGCAACACCCTTTTTGAACTTGGCCACAGTAACTTCTTGCAAGATACACCTATGAAGGCAAGAGAAACAAAAGCTAAAATGAATTATTGGGACTTCATCAACATAAGAAGCTTTTGCACAGCAAAAGAAACAGTCAACAAAACTAAAAGACAACCTACAGAATGAGAGAAGATATTTGCAAATGATGTATCAGATAAAGGGCTAGTATCCAAGATCTATAAAGAACTTCTTAAACTCAACAGCAAAGAAACAAACAATCCAATCATGAAATGGGCAAAAGACATGAAGAGAAATATCATAGAGGAAGACGCAGACATGGCCAACATGCACATTGAGAAAATGCTCCGCATCACTGGCCATGAGGGAAATACAAATCAAAACCACAATGAGATACCACCTCACACCAGTGAGGATGGGGAAAATTAACAAGGCAGGAAACAACAAATGTTGGAGGGGATGTGGAGAAATGGGAACCCTCTTGCTCTGTTGGTGGGAATGTGAACTGGTGCAGCCACCCTGGAAAACTGTGTGGAGGTTCCTCAAAGAGTTAAAAATAGACCTGCCCTACGACCCAACAATTGCCCTGCTGTGGATTTACCCCAAAGATTCAGATGCAATTTAACGCCGGGACACCTGCACCCCGATGTTTCTAGCAGCAATGTCCACAGTAGCCAAACTGTGGAAGGAGCCTTGGTGTCCATCGAAAGATGAATGGATAAAGAAGATGTGGTCTATGTATACAATGGAATATTACTCAGCCATTAGAAATGACAAATACCCACTATTTCCTTTGATGTGGAGGGACCTGCAGGGTATTATGCTGAGTGAAATAAGTCAATTGGAAAAGGACTAACATTATATGGTCTCATTCATTTGGGGAATATAAAAATTAGTGAAAGGGAATAAAGGGAACGGTTAGAAAATGAGTGAAAATATCAGTGAGGGTGACAAAACATGAGAGACACCTAACTCTGGGAAATGAACAAGCGGTAGTGGAAGGGGAGGTGGGCCGGGGGTTGGGGTGACTGGGTGATGGGCAATGAGGGGGGCACTTGGCGGGATGGGTACTTGCCAATTTGTTGCCAATAAAAAATTTAAAAAAAGAAAGAAAACAAACAAAAGAATCAGATGGGCTTTCTAGAGTGGAAAAACAAAACAGCTGAACTTAAGAACTATGGAACAATAAAGAACATATCGTCTTTATCTGTTTCCTGGTTCAAAAACTTCCAGAATTTCCACAGTAACAGGAGTGCCTTCATTATGCTAATGAGGTAACTCTCGGTGAGCCACTAGACACCTTGAAGATGGGAACTGTTATCAGATACATCAAGCATATGATTCAAAGGTTGAAATACTATTACAGAGAGGGAGGCTGAAGAATAAGTTCAATCACATGGCCAATGATTTAACCTATCATGCTTAAGTAATGAAATAACCCCTCAATATCTGGACATCAAACGGAACTGGTCCTGCTAGGTTTTGAACTTGCTTTTGACCCATGATCCCCTTTCTTTCTGATTTCTCCCTTTCAAAATAGGAATGCTTATTCTATTTCTGTCCCATCATTGTGTTTTGGAAAGATAACATGTCTAATGTTACAGGTTCATACATGTAAAGAATTTTTCCCCATGATGAATCACGCTGCATTTCAACCAAATATGATTTAGATAATGTTCAGATAAAAGTTTGGATTAGAGTTGATGTTAACAGTTTCTGGGATGTTCTGATGGGTTCAACGTATTTTACTTGTGAGAAGGACATGAATTTTTAGGGGCTAGATCGCAGACTGTTATGGGCTGAATCATGTCCCTACTAAATGTCAATAGGACTACCAGTATATAACCAATTACCTCTTCAATAACCCTCAGAATCAGACTTATTTGGATGGTCACTTAAGACATAATTCATTGAGACGAGGTCTTACTGGAGTAGAGCAGTACTCCAGAGTAGGTCCCTAACTTAATATGGCTGGTGTCCTCATAGGAAGGGAGAATTTGAACACAGGTATGCATAAAGAGAAAATGTCATGTGAATATTAAGGCAGAGATTGAAATGATGCTTCTAGAAGACAAGGAATGCCAAAGATTGCCACAAACCACAAGAAGCTAGGGGAGAGGCATGGAAGGGATTCTGCCTCGTAGTTCTCAGAAGGAACCCGCTGTGCCAATACTCTGATCTTGGAATTTAGCAGCATAGAAAACTAATGCTGCTTCTAGTAGAATTGGTCATTTTTACAAGATAGAAAGAAAACAATTAATATGCTATGTGTATACTTAATACAAATGACTTACAGTTTGGCATATGGCCCTTGCAGAATTCTTTTCTTCTTGGTAGGGCTCAAACTTGTATAGGTAGTTTGAAAACACTGAGAGCTCACAGGATCATCATCTTGATGCCGTTTGTTATTATCTCTTTCCTGACTTTGATTTTCTCTTCTAGCTGCTTGGGATGTTGAGGGTTGGTTAGCGTTCTAAAACCAAAAATTTAGAGAAGACATTTTAAACAAATCCACAAAAATTATTTTTCTTAAAAGACTATAATTTTAGTTTATCCATTTTTCATAATCTTAAGAGTTATGACATTTTTGCAATCATAAAAGTGCTTTTTTAAGCTGATTTATAGATGGAATTATATTTATCCTAATGCATCTGGTATTAAAATATTTTTAAGGGAGATAAACGAAAGTCCTTCTTATACTAGTAGAACTGAAAAGTTGGATTACATGCTTATTTTCATATGAACAGAAATCTTAGAAATAATTTTTTCAAAGGAAAAATTCACGAAAAAAAATAATTTGTCTTGATTGTGCCTAGATTCCAGTAGTGGTCTTTTCTATGAGAGCTTTTATCCTCCAAGAGTCATTGCTACATCTTAAAAAATCTAGGTGAAACTACCACACTGTCGGAAGTGTTCGTATAGTTCTGGCCTGGAGAAAAGGAATGGAGAAAATATAATTATATATACCACCTGGGTATTTAAGTAAAAAAATCACAACAGGCTCAAATTATGCAGAAGGCAAAAACAAGACGCCAAATTTTGAAAGCCTTGGGGAATATCAGAGGCTGTGACCTTCAGCCCAGCCTGCTTCAAAATAAATGATAGAAAAAGGAAACAAATGAAAAACATAAATTTTTTTTCCTCTGAGGTTTTCACCATTAAGCGGCAATACATGTGAGTTCTGAATAAAATGTACAAGGTATAAATTGTAATTATGATCACAGTGCATTCAGAGATATATTATTAATTCTCTGGCACCATACCCGAAGTGTTTCTGATGTTGAGGCATTTTCAGTTGCACTGGCATGGGGGATATACTTTATAACAGTAATTATCCCCTGAATGGCAATGCGCTTTTGTTCCCTATACTGCAAGTCTTCAATCTCCTTCCTCACTTCACTTATAGCTGTCAAGAGCGACTCAACTGCAAAAGAATAATTCCAGGGAAATTGTAAGTTTTAAGAACTGAAATGATAAAAATAAGAATTAGATTTGCAATGTCATTTCACAACATGAAATCATAAGCTTGCTACATAACTTGAATTTGTGAAACTTAGGTTTATGCTTGGCATCATCCCCTTGTCGTTTTTGTAAAATAGGCAGAATATATTTATCAGTTAAGTTGTGCTACAGTCCTCTAGTCTGGAGTCTTAAGTTGAAACAGAAATTTTGCATATTGAATGTACAGTTGACCGCTGAACAACAGGGGGGTTAGGGGCACCAAACCCCTTGCAGTCGGAAATCCATGTATGACTTTTGACTCCCCAAGAACTTTACTAATAGCCTACTATTGATCAGAAGCATTATGGACAATATAAACAGTTGATTACCACATATTATGTATATATATTATATCCTATATTCTTACAGTAATCTCGAGAAAAGAGAACGTTAAGAAAATCATAAGAAAATATATTTACAGTACCCTATATATATTTATTGAAACATATAGTTCAAAGCTGTGTTGTTCAAGGGTCACCTGTAATTTACACATCATATTTCAAACTATAAAGTGTTGCTTAGCCACTGCACAGAAACACATATTTTAATATATATGACCACATACTACATATTGCTGGTATTATGAAGTACAAGAAGATGCCAATATTTAGATGGTGGTAGGTCAGTGTTTCAAAGTTCCTGGTTTTTTCCCCAAAACCATGCAATTAACCCACAGCTTTTTTTAAAAAGAATATACTTATATTAAATTCTTCAACCATCATATCTTAATTCTAAAATAAGTTAATGTTAGGCCTCACATCAGTACTTATTCTACATCTCATTTATTTTGGTGTCATTTATATTTAAAGGTAGCGCTCAATTGTGTAATATCCAATATATATAATCCCACAAGAGTAGCATAATATAGTGTCAGTATCTTGATTTCAAGTGACCCAGTACCTCCTTGATATCTTTAGTCTCTGAATGTAATGTCATAGGAGTTGGGATCTAGTAATGTCAGATTTAATCTCAGTAACATCAAATCAAGATATGATGTCCAGTTAGTGATCATCTATGTTCTCCCTTCTTCTAGTCTAACAAAATCCAAATACTAACATTTAGGAGGCATGACACGTAATTTTAGATCTTTATAAAGACAAAGTTTTTATCGGTGAGTGTTGCTACACGTTAGCTCATGATATATATCACCCATACAGCACATAAACATATCTAGTAATTACATTAGTACCTTTGACAGAACTACTATACTTCGAAAATGTCTCTGGCACTGGTGGATAGGGGTAATATCCACCAATAACAGTGTTCTTCACTTCCTCAGAATCGGTCCTTGTTTTAATCCAATGAATAAAGTTTTTTACCTTGGTGTCGTTGGTATATGGCTGGCCTCTATGACCTTTTTGTAAAAAGAGTAAAACCAAAGAGAGAGAGAGAGAGAGAGAGAGAGAGAACTCACTGTAATAAACTGTATGGATTTTTTTGTATAGAAACAGTTTAATATCAAAATAGCCTCTTATGTCACCAAGAAAAGAAGTTCATTTATTCACTGTGTGGCAGATTACATTTAATGTATATACAAAAATTATCAAAGACAGTAAACCAATCCTATGTCGAGAAGGAAATCAGACATATTAGAGTTTAAGTCGACTAAACTGTAGCTGTCTACAGGATACTGAAAGGTAAAAATGAAAAGAAAATTAATCTTCTGGAGTTTTCTATCAAAATGGTTGGTATCTTCTTACAAAATTGATTTTTAAATCACGTATTAACCTAAAGGTATGGCATCATGTTTGAACTGAATCGCCTATAATACAGCTCAGCATTTAAATTCATGTTCTTAAAACATATTTAACAGTGCCATTTACATCTGATATTGTTAGTATTTATAAAACGAAGTATTGACCAAGATGTGTGTTACATCCTTCCTAGGACTCTTCTATTGACAAATTTCTTGATTATCAACATGGTAGTATTTAAGTGACTATACCACTCCACACCATTTCTTCATTCATCTGCAAACTTTTATCTTCATTGTTTTGACCCCGTTACCAGAAAGAACAGAGAAAAATAATGTGCTTGTAGATAACTAATGAGGCTTTTCTTGCTATATAAGTAAAATATTGAGATCAGGAACCAAAATCTGATGCACATTTTTAGTTAGTATTTAAAAATATTGTTAATCGTATCCATATTGTGATATAGGACCTAACAGTCTTCAATCTATCAAAGTAATTTATGATTATTACCTTACATCACGTAGGAATTAAAGTTAACCAAAGGACATCAATGCAATTCTCCATTGAGTCGCAAAATCATTGCTTTGTTCATAAATAATCTAGAAGCAATACATTTCATAGGCTAAATATTCTTTGTTCAAATATTCTTATAGCAATGAAGGAGGTCATAATAAAGCTATCTTGTGGTTGAATGTTGTAATGCAAAAGGTAATTTAATGAATAGAAAATATATTACATCTCCAATAAAGTATATTCAAAGAAATGGCTCACCAGTAATAAACACTCGACTCTCATTTGTAGTGGTCAGGTAAAGCAGTTTAGGTACTTGAGCATCATTCCTGACAACTTTCAACTGTGTACACACGAAATATGTCACTGTAGAAAATGAAAACCGTTATGAAAGAACTTCTGCCATTTGAAGAGGGCATACCAAGATAAAGATCAAACACAGTGCTTCTCAAAGTTTAAAGAACATAGAACTCACCTGGGACAATTGTTAAAATGCAAATATAGATTCAGTAGTTAGAGAATGGGGCCTGAGATCCTCTACTTCTTAATAAGCCTTAGATGGTACTAGTTTGCCAGTCCTTTGACCACACTTGGAGAAACAAGGATCCAACACCTAGCTTTTCCTTTATTTTTTTATTTTTTTATTATTTTTTTTAGCTTTTCCTTTAGATAAAGGATCTAACACTCACTTTTCCTTCAGAAAGTACAATCGCTGCACCTAACTGAAGTTACTGCCTCCTGTACAGTTGAAGACTGCAAGGCTTTCTAATCAGGCATACAGCTGAGTGTGAACAGGCATTTCCTACAGAGAATAAAAGCTTAGTTTCTCCAGGATGTTTTTATTGATTAACCCAATCTAACACTGATAACTGAATTACTCTGACTCCTTCCACCAGATAGAAGTATACACTATTAAGTTGAATTTGCTTTTACATGTGTTTATCTTAATTGGACTTTAAGGATCCATGACAGGGCTTATACAACTCTTTGTTTTCTATTCACCTGGCTGGACTGTTTTCAACCATCTATCAATTAGTTAGGTAAAGTTTCATTAAGCCAACAACAGAGTTTAAATTTTAACTCATTGACATGCCAAAACAGTTATGGTCTTTTGAACTAGGAAATGAAGGAATAAACGTAAATACTTGTAATCTCACAATAATGGTAAGTTCTCATTTGAGAAAATATTTCCCTAGAGCATGATAATAAGTATACATTCATTTACTATATCTAACATTTCCTAATTCTTTATTTTATAGCAACAAAAATAAAGGAAATCCATTGAAATGACTAAGGATAATTCTTAATTTACATTACCATTCCTTTATTTCAAAAACTATACAAATATGTCATTATTCATGGTTGAAGACGTTGATAAGGAATATTAAAGAAACTTCTAATTCTCATTTCATGACTGTTAAAAATCAGACATTCCGACCTGACACCTTCTAGCTGTTTGACATCCAAGAAATTACTTAACTCCTCTGGATCTTTGTTTCCTCACCTGTAAATCTGTAAAAACATCAACTTTTAAGAAGGCAACTAGGAGTACAAAATGAGATAACGTTTATGAATATCTGATAAATAATAAACACTCAATATTAGTTCTTAGTTTTTCACTTTCCTTAATCAAAAGTAAAAAAGATACCCTACTACCAAAGGATTCTGGTATTATCCCAGAAGACACTTGGTCATGTTCCCATTCATAGGCCTGAAGCCCCCTTAATACTCACTATTCATTTGATAATTTTTTCACTTTGGTCAAAATATGAACATAAATTGTGACTGCTGTCAACTACTATACTAGAATAAATCTCACCAAGGTCCGTAAAAATCTTTCTTTGCAAGATGTATTTCACATTGTCCGAAGAAACAGAACATGTATACTTGGCAATGTCTCTGTGAAAAAATTATCTAAAACTTGTGTCAGCTTGTTGTTTGAAGTGGCTACAAAGAGAGACAGCCTTGGCCATAAAACCCACCTAAAACGAAGTAATGGAATTATCATCAAAAGTCATCAGTATCAATCATTTATGCTCTGAGAGAAGTTACATGAAAAATCATAGCCCCACTTGCCTTGGAAGCCCATGCTGTGGTTTGGGGCAAAACTCTTTCTGCCCTCTCCCTCAATAGTTGGGTGAGGTTTACTTCTGTTCAGATATATTATAAAATTTTAATCTCACAAGCAGATGATAGAGTCTAATAAGGTGATATCTGAATGGTGTGGAATGCTGTTTTGCAATAACTAATAAAGGGGTGGCACAACAGCTCTTTACATGGTCTGTAAGTATCCTGATGTTCTACAATTTTTACCTTGTTGCTGATTTAAAAAATTACATATGGTCAAGATTGGGAGTATTCCCAATGTTGGCAAACATTTAAATATCAGTATTTTATTCATATAATCATTTGAAAACTAGTAAAATAGCACACTAAGCTATAATAGTTTTATGCTACAAGTTGATATAAGGAAAAATTCGCTGAAGTTGTTAAAGAGAATTAAATATACTTTTTTCTTATCATAATAGATTTGAAGACTAACTTGTATAAAATATATAGTAAGGCAGACCTAAAGGTTTTCAAACAAATAAAATTAGTGGAAGAAAATGCCTCTATGTCTGAATAAATGCAAGGGGGAGAGGTCAATAACAAAGTAACTAAAATATTGCCCAGCTGGTTGAACATTGCCAATGTAATATTGATTCAATACTCAAATGAAATCATACTATCACTGTCATTATTTAGTTACACAGTCTGTCAATCCTCTACCAATCAATTCTACATTAGTAAAGTTTTCATTATCGTTTTTTGCAGTCTACTTAGTCAATTTTGAAATGGATACAAAGGGAACTGACTGCCTGTTTTAGTTTCACTGAATGTTAAGCTTTGATGCCTGAAATGCTAATAATGAGAATTGATAAGAGCATCTGTTTTCTGAAAAACTAGTTTCAATCCCAAATTAATTCTGAATAGACAACCAGAGGTGGTGATAGCTGTAATACCAAATACAATATTATTACAGAAAAAAATGTAAACATGCTATCATACTGCTTAAATTTGCTGATTCAGTATCATGCCACTCTGTAAATCAGAACACTGTAACATTTTAAGTTCATGCACCCTCCCCCCTTCCAAAAGTAAAAAAAAAAATCGCAAATACTGGATTGAGTACTTGGGTAAATATTTTCAAAGATTTCTGGCTGAGATGTAGAAAACAGCTCTACTATAAATGGTTGTTCTGAAGTGCCATCAGCAATGTGAATCCAGCGATACGACCAAAAATCTTCACGGTTTTCTATATGGGTAGGATATTAGAATAAATGAAAGTAAATAATTATGCATAAATGAACGCAGGACTTATTCACTGAAATATATTTTATGGCTTTCAATTTTAAAAGCTTACCTTTCTTTTTTGACCGCTGGACCCTTCCTACAAAAACTAAAATGCCAATAACATCACAGATATGATTTTCTGGCATATCATCCAGTTCTGACCTAAAAAAAGCAAAATTGTTAAATATTGTATCTTTAAACAGTGAAAAAACATTCTAAAATTATGACTGTGAAAATATATCTTTATATAATTGATACAGCATAATTGGGGTAGATTTTGAGCAATAATAATACCATTTCGGTAGCTAATGTTAAAAATGAATGTTTAAGGTATTTTACATGAGCATTCTACCTTGTGATAAAGCGGTGATTTAATTTTGGCAATCTCCATTCAGGTTTCACCTGCTTCTCTGGAATGATAATTATGTTAGTTGGAGGATCTCGAAGATTCAGGCAGATTTCTGAAAAACAAATATATTACTTTAATATATGACATTTAATACAGATAAAATAATATACACGGGTACAAATTACATGGCAAAATATTAAACTGAACTTTTTTGAACCTACCACTAACTCTAAGAACCAGACTATTATCAATAGCTTTCTTCTACTTATTCCTACACTAGAATTGCTGAATAATGTTCCAGGGTGTTTATATATTCCAATTTTGTTTACCCACTATCGCATTGATGGACATCTGGATTATTTCCTGTTTTTGCTGTTACAAAAAGGGTCACTATGAACTTTTTTGTACATGTCTCCTTGTGCACACAGGCATTCATTTTCTAGGGTATTATACAGAGGGAAACCCTGGATTGTAAAACGTGCAAAAGTGCCACTCTACAGGCTAATTCCAAACTACTTTCAAGTAATTAACCTATTTATAGTTCTACCAGTAATGTGTAAGAATTCCCATTGATCAGCATTCTCTCCAAATTTTGCTACTATCAAAGTTAGTTTTTGTCAATTTAGTGACACAAAATGACAGTATGTTGTGGTCTTATTTTGTACTACCTTTATTACTAATTATGTTGAATGGCATTTCATATACTCACCATTCATGCACCCTCTTTTAATTTTTTTTTATTTTTAAAGATTTGTTTTATTTATGTTAGAGCGGGGGAGGGAAGGGAGCAGAGGGAGAGGGAGTCTTAAGACGACTCTGCACTAAGCATGGAGCCCAAAGCAGGGCTTGATCTCATGACCCTGAGACCACGACCTGGGCCAAAATCAAGAGTTGGACGCTTGACCAACTGCACCACCGAGCCGCCTCTCATGCATCTTCTTTTTTTTTTTTTCATGCATCTTCTTTTGTGAAATACATGCTGTGTCTTTTGCCCACTTTTCTATTGGACTTTTTCTTATTTGAAGGACTTTTTATATATACTAGATACTAATACTTTGTTGATTATTGTAAATATATACACTCATGTGTCAATTGCTTTTCATTCTTTTTTACAGTGTCTTTTGAATTTCAATGTAGTTGGGTTTATTAGTCATTCATTTATAAATGATATTTCCTGTGTCCTATCAAGAAATCCTTCCTTATCCCAAGGTCAAATGCATATTTCTTATAAGTTCTTCTAAAAGTTTTGCCTTTTACATTTGCTATATCTGGAATTGACTATACGGTACGAGATAGAGATATGATGTCACTTTTTTCTCAAATATATGCTTATTTGTTCCAATACTATTTACCAAATAGTTCTTCCTTCCTTGATGATCTGTATAGCACATCTGTCATATCAAAATTTTGTGTTTAGGGTTATTTCTTGACTGTACTGTGATTTGCTAGTCAGTTTGTCTATTCCTATGCCAATAATACATGGCCATAAATTTTTTGCAATAACTCATGACAGGGGCACCTAGGTGGCTCAGTGGTTGAGCGTCTCCCTTTGGCTCAGGTTGTGATCCCAGAGTCCTGGGATCAAGTCCCACACTGGGCTCCCCACAGGGAGCCTGCTTCTCCCTCTGCCTGTCTCTGCCTCTCTCTCACATGAATCAGTAAATTTAAAAAAATCTTAAAAAACTAACCCATGACATTTGTAGGACAAAGTCTTCACTCCCTCTGCAACCCCCTATTATTTTTCTTCAGAATTGTCTGAACTATCCTTAATAATTACGTGCCTCCATATAAATTTTAGAATCAGTTTGTCGGTTCCAGAAAAAAAATATCTTACAGAATAGCACTGAATCTGCAGATCAATTTAGGAGTACTTGACATACTTATGAAATTGAGACTAACTTCCTACCTGGGAACATAGGATATTTCTCCACTTATTTAGAGATTCTGAAATGTCTTTCAATAAAGTATTATAATCTTCTCCAAACAGGTCTTACATATTTTCTATTAGATTTATTTCTAGATAACTTATAGTTACATTTTTAAAATCATAATTTCTAACTCTGTTACTGCAGTATACAAAATCTATTTACTTTTGTATATTGGTCTTATAGCTAGCTGTACCAATATCTTATTATTTTTAATTTGTGTTATTTGATTTTCTTTGTAGAAAATCTAATTTGTGAATTACAGCTTTGTGTTTTTCTTTAAAATCCTTATGATTTGGGGGCATTTGGGTGGCTTAGTCAGATAAGTGTCTGACTCTTGCTTTCAGCTCAAGTCATGATCTCAGCGTCATGAGATTGAGGCCCATGTTGGGCTCTGCTCTTAATACAGAGTCTACTTGGGATACTCTCCCTCTCCCCTCTCCTTGTGTGCTCTCTCTCTAAAATAAATAAATAAAATCTTAAAAAATAAAGTCCTTATGATTTTAATGCATTTTTGTCCTCACACTGGCTAGAGCAGTTAGTATAACATTAAATAAAAATAGGAATAGGAGATATCCATGTTCTCCATCTTAAAAATGTTACTGAATTTTCCTTAGAGATGTTTGTTGTTTTGTTTTGTTAACACCCTTTATCAGGTTAACATTCCTTCTCTTGCTATTTTCTTTTTTAAATTTATGAATGGATGTGAAATTTCAGTAAATGCCTCTTTTGCCTCTATTAGGATGACCATTTTCTTCTTTAATCTGTTAATGTAATGAGTGACATTATAGATTTTCATATGTAAAATCAACTTTGCATTGCTGGAGACCATGCAATTTAGTCATTGTATGTGATCATTTTTTAAAATTTTTATTTATTTATGATAGTCACAGAGAGAGAGAGAGAGAGAGAGAGAGAGAGAGAGGGGCAGACTCCATGCACCGGGAGCCCGACGTGGGATTTGATCCCGGGTCTCCAGGATTGCGCCCTGGGCCAAAGGCAGGCGCCAAACCACTGCGCCACCCAGGGATTCCCCTGTATGTGATCATTTTTTACATATAACTGAATTCAATTTGCTATTCTATTTAGAATATCTGTATATATTTTCACAGCTGAAGCTAGCCTTTAATTTTTCCCTTTCATACTATTCTTGTTTTTTTTAGAGATTTTATTTATTTATGAGAGAGAGAGAGAGAGAGAGAGAGGCAGAGACACAGGCAGAGGGAGAAGCAGGCTCCATGCAGGGAGCCCAATGTGGGACTTGATCCCGAGTCTCCAGGATCACGCCCTGGGCTGAAGGCAGGCACTAAATCACTGAGTCACCCAGGCTGCCCTCTTTGGTTTTGATTGTGAAGGTTATATTGGTAGCAAAGAGTAAGTCAGAAAGTATGCCCTCTTAGTTTATTCTCTGGAATAGTTTTAGAATGATATATTCCTTGAATTTTTGGTAGAATTTGCCTCATAAAATGATATATACCTGGTATTTCCTTGGTGAAAATATTTTAAACCTTTGATTCAATTTCTTTAGTAGTTATAGAGCTATCTGGGATTTCTCTCTCTTTCTTTAAGATTTTATTTATTTATTCACGAGAGACATACACAGAGAGAGGCAGAGACATAGGCAGAGGGAGAAGCAGGCTCCATGCAGGGAGCCTGATACAGGACTCGATTCCAGGACTCTGGGATCACACCCTGGGCCAAAGGCAGGAGCTAAACTACTGAGCCACCCAGGCATCCCGCTTTCTTGGCTTTCCATTTCCTTTTATGCAGTAGGTAATATTTTCTAAGAACTTGCTGTTTAACAAACAAAGATTAAAACAGGATGATGATAGGGCGCCTGGGTGGCTCAGTCGGTTGGGTGTCCAGCTCTTGATTTTGGCTTGGGTCATGATCTTAGGGTCCTGGGATCAAGTCATGCATCAGGCTCTGCTCTGGGCATGGAGCCTGCTGGGAATTCTCTCTTTCCCTTCCCTCTGCTCCTCCCCACACTCCCCAACATGAGAGTGTGCTCTCTCTAACAAAACAAGATGACGTACCTGATTTCTCATCCTTCCTATTAGCAGCCATGTGACTAGAAAATTCACTTTATTTTTATGAGTTTCAGCCTTTTCATATACAAGTGAGAAAGTTTATATTCCATGATATTACCTTGCACCTACAAAATAGCTTGCATTTCACAGAGCACTTTCACATAGTTACTTGATTATATTTAAATTCCCTTCCATCTCCAAAATGCTAGGATTTTGAATGAAATAAATAGCTCCTTCCCATCAGAACCCCAAACACTTTATGCTACTATCTCAATAAGTATTATACAATACAGTCTGAAAAATCTCAAGATTTAAAAATGTTTATTTGCGTATGCTAGTTGAATACTATTCAATAAAAGGTAGTACAGAATGATATGCAAAATGGCAACATACAAAATCATGTATTACCAGCAAATATGTCCTATAAACATAGGACATACAAGAGAAATTTCACCTTTATAGGCTTCCATTTATTTGGTCTCTAAAAAAATTACTTGTCTTTGTGTCTATAACTGGGAACTACACATATAAATATGAAAAAATAAATCAAGATCAATTACTCTAATAGTTTGTCTTTCAACATGAACACCTAGAAGGTAGTGATGGTACCACAAACGTTTCTTCCCTTACTGACCAACCCTGGCCCCCAATATATACTGATTTCTCATTTATCCTATCCATAACATTTAAACTACCCTGTTATTGTAACCCCCACTCACACTTTCTCCTACCCAACCCATTCTTCCACCCTCCTGACCATTCATTTTTTTCCTCAACTACATTTTTATTTTCTCTCCCCTTATGTTCATATCTTCTTAATGTTTACTGTCATTAATTTCTATTTTATTATAATCCATTGATTTTACTGATCTGTACCATTAGACTAATTTTTTCAAGTTTTTATTTAAATTCTGGTTTGTTAACAGACAGTGTAATATATTACTCTGTTAGACCAGTTTTTTAAGGGTAGAACTCTGTATTACTTTGTAACTCCTGTGTCTAGCATGGTTTACAAAACTGTCTTCGTTTCTCTCCAAAAGATCATTAATCTATCTGAGCTTTTTAAAGGTCATAAATGGAAAAAAAAGGTCATAAATGAGCAGTTCTCAATTCTAGCTGTACATTAGAATCACCTGAGGAGTTTTAAAGATGCACCAATGTCTTGGTTCCCTCCTCAGAGTAATTAAATCAGAATCTCTGAACCTCGTGTGCCTATGGTTCTTTCAGGCTCCCCAAGTGATACTGATGTCCAGCCAGGGTTGAGATCTGCAATATATGTGTAGGCTCAGCAAACTATAGCCTGCAGATGGTTGCTTGTTTTTGTAAATAAAGTTCTACTATAACACAGCCATGCCCATTCTTTACATATTATCTCTGTTTGCTTTCACTCTGTAAAGGCAGAGCTGTGTATTTATGACAGGTATTACATTGTCTTTGTAGAAATAGCTCTATGTCCCTTGATAAAGAGAAAAAATCCTATTACTAATCAAAAAGGTATGGGGTAGACTGATGGTAACACTGATAAAAAGTAAAACTGTTTTAAAGACGAACAAACATTTTCAGTATATGCTCATCAAAGCCTCTCATTTTAAAAAATAATTTCTGGGGATCCCTGGGTGGCTCAGCGGTTTAGCGCCTGCCTTTGGTCCAAGGCACGATCCAGGAGTCCTGGGATCGAGTCCTGCGTTGGGCTCCCGACATGGAGCCTGCTTCTCCCTCCTCCTGTGTCTCTGCCCCTCTCTCTCTGTGTGTCTATCATGAATAAATAAATAAATAAATAATCTTTAAAAAAATAAAAAATTTCTGTATTTGCAATTATTTTCCTGAAAGTACAGACAGCCTCTCATATCTTACGGAGAGTTTCTATTATGAAAATCTGGCACTGTAGTTCTATATAGCAGAGGTAGCATACTGCTTGATTCAATTTATGTTAAGTTTTAGTAGTTGTTTATCTATTGACTACATGCTGTCTATTGTTCTACTTTCCATGTTTTTAAGGTTTAGAAACAGCTATTAGTACCAGACATATTTCTAGATTTATCCACAGCCATGTAAAATTGTGATTTAAATTAATTCTCTTTACACCAGGAAAACAGTGTATCTCATGAAAAGAACGCTAGGTTCGATATCAGAAGAACTAGGTTTGACTTCGTACTATGCCAGTGATTATTATGTGGCATCAATAAATTTACTTACCTTATCTGTTATTGACAAATGTCTCAATTTTTATTAAAGTAATTTTTCACCTAGATATGCTTGGTTGTAGAAAGAATTTACAAATTGACAGACATAATGATACATATTGCAAATTAGCTTATTTTTTTGCCAGTTTTTACTGTATTTTCTCAAGTAAGTCCCAACATCAGTTATCAGCTTAATTTCTCATCTTTCTATAATAAAGAGCAATGAGATAGTGGACTAATTGTACCAAACTACTAGGTCATAACTTGTTCATCCAGCAAGACAGGATTGATGTCCACCAAATCTTTAAGGTTTTAATAAAGAGTCACATGAGCTTTTCCTAAATCAACATATATTTGAGAAAACAGTTGACAAAGGCTATATTATTTGCATGTTGTCCAAGTAATTAAGCTTAATTTATTAGTAGAGAATTTAGAATACATAGAAATACAAGTCTAGTAAAAAAAAACTGTATGAGCCAAAAACAATACTTAAACTTGTTGAGTGGTATGATCTGCAATTTTGAAAAATGGAGAGGCAAAAAATGGTCACATCTGAAAGCAATCACTTAATAATTTTAATGCCCCCAAACTACTTAGGATGATGCCAAGATGTCAAAACTTTGATTTCAATGCTAATTAGGAAAAGCCTTTTCAAAACTGCAGGAATTCAATTGCATCTGAATATTGACTACAGGTTAGATATCAGCAATCTGTCAATTTTAAATTTCCTGATTTTGTTAACTGTACTGTGATTATAGAATAGAATGTTTTTGCTCTCAGAAATACACATTGAGGGATGCCTGAGTGGGTCAGCAGTTGAGTGTCTGCCTTTGGCTCAGGTCATGATCCTGCGGTCATGGGATCGAGTCCCACATGGAACTCCCTGCAGGGAGCCTGCTTCTCCCTTTGTCTATGTCTCTGCCTCTCTCTCTGTGTCTCTCACGAATAAATAAATAAAATATTTTTAAAAAGAAATACACATTGAAATATTACTGAAGTGTTCTGAGGTAAAGGGGGATGTGTGATGGCTGCCACTTACTCTCAGATGTTTCAGAGGACAAATATAGAATGTGGGAAATGAAAAAGCAAAGGTAAATATTAACAACTGCTGAATCCATGTAGAGGGTATATGGGAGTTCTTTGTATTATTCTTTCAACTTTTACCCAAGTTTGAAATTATTTCAAAATAAAATGCTAACAAAAGCCTTTTGAATAGCATCTTATAGTAACAGAAAAGTATATTAAAGTCATTAATTTAGTATTGTAAGACAAAACATAAAACAAAAATAAGTACATCCTAAGTTGGAGCTCATCATTAATCAACAATAAATATCTCACATTATTTCTTCTTAATAAATGCAATATTTAGTGAGTGCTTAAAATTTTTAAAGATAAAAAAAATTTTTAAAGATAAAGGAATTTAAAGGTTTACCAGGTTCTAACAGATTTGGCAATTTTTAAGAGTCTTTGGCTGGTATGGTATTTTGCAAATTTATACAAACAAAAAGCCATAGAACAATACATTTATTGAATACTTAACCCATTGTAGAAATTAGTTTGATCTGCGGATCCACAGGGAGAGGCTGCATCCTGAATGGATAACTCTTTTTAACAGAATAATCCTGAAGCAGAAGGACTAAACCAACCCTCAAACTTTTATACCACTCAGGACACAGGGCATTCCACATAATCACTGACACCGTGCCTGAACTGTCAGCAACTTCCAAAAATGTCTAGAAAAAAAGAGTGAAAAAGCATATGCATATTTGTTACTTTTATCTACAGGGAATTTCAATTTTAAGAATGAGAAAGCAAAAAAAAAGAATGAGAAAGCAAAACTATAGGGGAATGACTGAGTTATGATACAATCTGCAGCTATTGAAATTTATGAATGAAGGATTTTCAGTAACAGAAAATACTTAAGGAAATGTTAAGTAATACAAAATTGTATGTACAAGGGACACCTGGGTGGCTCAGTCTGTTAAGTGGCTCAGGTCATGGTCCTGGGTTCCTGGGTCCTGGGAATGAGTCCCACGTCAGGCTCCCTGACCAGTGGGGAGTCTGCTTTCTCTCTCTCCCTACTCTGCTCTCTCTCTCTCAAATAAATGAATAATATCTTTTAAAAAAATCCCCCAAACCCCACAAAATTGTACATACAATATGATTTCCATTTTGTAAGATAATTTAATATATGACATAGTCATGCAATATGATATGCACATATATACATACAGATGTGATATATGTAACATACATATGACATAGATATATGCATATATACGCTATGAATGCATGTAGACATGATATATACATACAAAAAAGGGAATAAAACACTTTAATATTAATAGTGGCTCTGGTAGAATTTGGGGTGATATTATTTATCAGCTTTATTTATATAGCTTTCTGCATTTCCCAAATTCCCTCAAAGTATGTATAACTGTTATAATGAAAGCTTAAGAGACTCCTAAAATAATTCTTGATAACATGTGAAAATATGGTGAAATGTTAAGTAAAAAAAACAACCAAACAGGACAGAAATCAAGAAGGTAGTTTTCATTAGCATTATATGACACAGAGAGTCAAGATAACAGAAAAGTATCAGCTAGATTTGACAATCAGAAGGTCTCTAGGGGTCTCTAGTGAGTGACCAGCTGAAGAAAAAAAGTCAAACTAATTGTGTTGAAAAGTAAATGGGAGGTAAGAAAGTGAAAACATCTAGTAGAGACTACTTCTTCAAGGAGCTTGCCAGAAGAGAAGAGAGGGACTAGAGGAGTCCTGGGGTCAAAGGAGATTTTTTTTCTTTTTTTAAAATTAGAGACTAGAGTATGTCTATATGCTGGTGCAGAAAACACAGTAGAGAAGAAAAGGTTGAAGATACATAAAAAGTGTGAGGAGACCAGCTGAATCAGGGAACTAAAAGGTACCAACACAGTATAAGAAATTACATAGAAAAATACCTTGAAATATGCATTTATGCACATTTTAAAAATTATTAAACTTATAAAATATTATTTGAACATAAATTATCCCAATATGGAGTCAAGTCTGTAAGCTATAATCTATAAACATTTCATTAACGTGTAGAATCTTGTCATTACTTATACCTGGTATGGCTCAATCATCTTTTTATCAGGTTTTCCATAGTATCGCAGTTTTGATTTATGCAAGATTCTCACAAGCAATGCAGGAAAATTCCTTCTGTTAGCCCAGGTCATTTCAAGGTGAGAAAGGGAAATTATTTTGGTATCTAGAATAAAAAAAATAGAATAGAAAAAATCCTACTTAATATGTCATGGTAATTTAAAATTGTTTTAATAGTTAAATAGCATCCAGATCATCCCCAAAGCAAATCCTTCTTACCAGCCAAGCCAGTTTATATACTTCTCACATACAAAACTTATTAGTACATGCCATCCTTAATAATAATAGCTAATATGTAGGGGTGCCTGGGTAGCTCAGTCAGTTAAGCAGCCAACTCTTGATTTCAGCTCATGTCATGATCTCAGGGGTGCTGGGCATGAAGCCTGCTTAACTGGCTTAAGATTCTCTCTCTCCCTTCCTACTGTCCCCCCAACTCTCTCATGTGCGTGCATTCTCTTTTCTCTAAAAAAAACATATATATATATATATATATATATATATATATATATATATATTCGCACACACACCTTACTATGTGCCTGGAACGAAGGTAAATATCTATATTAACTAACATACTATTCTATTTTGACTGCCCTCTGCCTTGTCAAACTGGATAATTACTTCCTGAAAGACTTGGATCTAAACTCATCTCCCCCTAGGTGGAGGGATGGGTAAAATAGATAAAAGGGATTAAGAGAACACGTATTCTGATGAGCACTGAGAAATATATTGTATAGTTAAATCATTATAGGGTACACCTGAAACCAATATAACACCGTATGTTAATGATACTTCAATAAATTCATCTCCCTTAAGAAATTTTGTGGGAAAACCTCAATGCCATGGAGTATTTTCCCACTACCAAGCACTTGCATATTTAATTTATGGAATGGTTTTATTACATTTTTCTGTATTGCCCTCACTGTAGCTTCATATGTGTAAGTTCTGTATTTCCCAAACATGCCAGACATAGTCCCATACCAGGGCCTTTGCACTTGCTGTTCCCTCTGTCTGGAATGTCTTCTTAGATACCAGAGTGACTTCCCTCCTCCTATCCTTCAAGTTTTGCTCAAAGGTCACTTTCTCAGTGATGTTATCCCTAATTACCCAATTGAAAACTGGTCCCTTTACTTATGCCCCATCTCATCTTATTTTTCTACATAGCACTTTTTATCTTCTCATATGCCATATACTTTACTTTGAAATTTTAATCTCAATGCTTCCTGGCAAGTAAGAAAACTCCTTAAAAGCTATTTACCATCTTTAAAAAATTAACTTGTATTTTTTATTTTATTCTTCTTTGGGTTAAGAGATGTTCCATCTGTAATTTTGTCTACAATTAGCTCTCTCATAGCCCAACTTATAAAACCTAAGTTTGTATTTGTTCCAGTATTTTATTTCATAAGGCATCTTCCACTTCCATTTTAATTTACATAATATATCACCTACTCAACATTTTGGCATGAAATTCATATTTGTAATTTCTTAATAAGAATTTAAATGGAATGTTGTGGTAGTTATACCTGTATCATAAAAAAACATACTATTTTTAATCTTCAGACCTCTTGGATGATTTTCCTTCTATATTCCCCCCCAAAAAACATTAATAGCTCAGAATCATAGGTCCTAGTATTTGTTCTGACATAATTAAGTGATTTCCTTTTAAATTAGATCAAATTGGTATCCCTGGGTGGCGCAGCGGTTTGGCGCCTGCCTTTGGCCCGGGGCGCGATCCTGGAGACCCGGGATCGAATCCCACATCGGGCTCCTGGTGCGTGGAGCCTGCTTCTCCCTCTGCCTGTGTCTCTGCCTCTCTCTCTCTCTCTCTCTGTGTGACTATCATAAATGAATAAAAATAAAAAAAAAAACACATTTAAAAAAATAAATTAGATCAAATTGTAGATCAGCTCTGAATTATCTGAAATATATGTGGAACTCTCTTGATCAATGAAGGCACATGTATCTTCACTAACTAGAGTAAATTCAAGAGTTATATGCTTTTGTAAAACCAGATTTCTAAGAACCACTGCTTCTGCTGTAATTGGGTCCACAGAGTTAGCTGTGATCAGAAATCTGTCTGGTTAATGTTTTCCCAGTTTGGGTTTTTAACTCACAGACTTCATAGAATACACATATCTCTCAAATCCAAAAAGAAATTACAGGCTATATATAGACAATGAAGAACCTGAATAAATTCATAGAAATGTGTTCATTTTCAAAAGAAAGAATGAAAATAAATAAACTAGTTCTTCAGTATAAAACGTTAGTAAGCAACAGGATAGTGATTCTCAAAAAAAAAAAAAAAAGAATAGTGATTCTCAAACTTTCTGGTATCAGGAGCCTGCCTATTACATTCTTAAAAATTACTGAAGACCTCAAAAATCTTTTATTATTGTGGGTAATATCTATTCAACACTTGCCATATTATAAAGCAAAACTAAGAAATAAAAATTGTTCATTAACTCCTTTAAAAATAACAATAAATCTATTATGTATAATATATATATACATTTTTGAAAAATGACTGTATTTTCCAAAATAAAAAATTTAGTGAGAGGAGTGGCACTGGTTTGCATTTTTATAAATTTTTTTTAGTGTCTAGCTTAATAGAAGACAGGTGGATACTCATTTTTCTTTGGCATTCAGTCCATTTCGATGTTACATGTTCTGTAGCCTCTGGAAGACTGCACTGTATATTTTCAGGGAATTAAAGTAATAAGAGGTAAATGAAGTCTTAGTATTATTATTATGAAAATAGTTTTGATGTGAATCCCTTGAAAAGGTCTTGGGAACACTTCTAGAGGTCCTTGAACCACACAATGAAAACTACTGCAAAAGAATAAACCCAAAGAATGCAAAAAGGAATAAAGATAAGAGCTAAAAATAATGTATTAGAAAAACATAGAACCGTTAAATACAATTCCTTGGAAAATTTAATGAAAAGGTAGACCTCTGAAAAGTGCAACTGTGAAGACAGAAAAAGATGTTTGAAATGTGATCAACTATAAACCTAGAGAAAAATATTATTATATATGATTATATATCACTAAGTTTGAAAATATCAGTGAAATTGATAATCTCCTAGGAAAATATGAATTATCAATATTGCCTTTAGGAGCTGAAGAAAACTGGAATAATAGGTCAATAACTGTGGAAGAAAGTAAAAAAGCTCACAAATAATAACCTCCAAAAATGGCACTAGGTTCTAACAATTCATTTTATAAACACAGATAAATCCTGGAAAATTATGACAAAAGTAGTACAAAGGGAAAAAATCTATAAATCCAAATCATTCATGATGGCAAATATCCTTAATCAAATACTTTCAAATCCAATACAGCACTTGCTTTTAGAAGTTGTACATTAATGTGTATTCTCCTAAAGGTTACTCTTAATGTTTTAACAAAATTATTAAGCTTTGATTTTTGTGTCAATCTCCAGAATTACTCACAATTTATAAGATCTTCCTCTTGAACAATACAAGATATTTAGGACTCTACTTGGCCACGATGCAATTTGGCATGTTGCTGTATTGGATTTGAAAGTATTTGATTAAGGATATTTGCCGTGGTTTATGTATACAATGGAATATTACTCAGCCATTAGAAACAACAAATACCCACCATTTGCTTCAACGTGGATGGAACTGGAGGGTATTATGCTGAGTGAAGTAAGTCAATCGGAGAAGGACAAACAGTGTATGTTCTCACTCATTTGGGGAATATGAATAATAGTGAAGGGGAATATAAGGGAAGGGAGAAGAAATGTGTGGGAGATATCAGAAAGGGACACAGAACATAAAGACTTCTAACTCTGGGAAATGAACTAGGGGTGGTGGAAGGGGCGGAGGGCGGGGGGTGGGGGTGAATGGATGACGGGCACGGAGGGGGACACTTGACGGGATGAGCACTGGGTGTTATTCTGTATGTTGGTAAATTGAACACCAATAAAAATTAATTTATAAAAAAAAATAAAATAAAAGCACTAGAAGAAAAAAAGAATTTAAATCTTGGAATCTTGGAAAAGTAAAAAAATAAAGCATGGCATATAGTAAAGAAAGTATTTCTGTAAGAACAGATACAAAAACATCATTAATAACTAAATTTAATTGGATTAAATTAATCTCTTAAAAGAAAAAGAATTGGTGTGGGTCAAAAAGCTAAAATCTTAGCTATATATTTCTTTAAAATGACAAATGTAAAACAAAATATAAATAAAGGGATGGAGAAAGATACATACACTTTATAGTAACATTTAAATAAACTTTTAGAAATAAAAGGAGAAATGAACAAAACCACTGTCATAAAGAAAAGCCAATATTCCTCTCAGAGAAATGGGCAAATAAAAATAGATTTTAAAATAAGAATATGGAATATTTTAATTAAAATTTTAAAACTTGTTATAGGGGCACCTGGGTGACTCAGTTGGTTAAGCATCTGCCTTTGACTCAGGTGGTGATCTGGGGTCCTGGGATCAAGATTCCCTGCTCAGCAGGGGGTCTGCTTCTTCCTCTCCCTCTGCCCCTCCCACCCACCACTTGTGTTCTCAAAATAAATAAATAAAATCTTTAAAAAAATTTAAAACTTGTTATAATAGACTTCATATCTAATAAGTAAGCTTTTTCTAAAATTTTGAGGGTTAAAGAGAAACTCAAATTTAAAATCAGAAAATATGAGTAATGAGTAAAAATAAAATCTCTATACTTCAAAACCTGGTGTAAGCAGCCAAAGCAGTATCCATGGGAAATTTTGGAATTTTAAAAGCTTTTGGAAGAAAGAAACAAGGAACTAAGTGAACTAAGCATTCAACTCAAGAAGGTAGTACAAAAAAATGAACAAAGAAAATAAAAAAATTAAAAGGGCAGCCCGTGTGGCTCAGCAGTTTAGTGCCACCTTCAGCCCAGGGTGTGATCCTGGAGACCCGGGATGGAGTCCCACGTTGGGTTCCCAGCATGGGGCCTGCTTCTCCCCCTGCCTGTGTCTCTGTGCTCCCCCCCCTCTGTATCTCATGAATAAATACAATCTTTTTTTAAAAAAGATGATAGTGTTAATAAAGTAGAAAACATCTCCCCAACATTGACTTAATTAGTAAAGCCAAGTCTTTTTTTAAATACTAATAAAGCAGACAAGCCTCTGGCAAGGCTGACCATAAAAAAGGGTAAGCACATAAACATTAGAAATGTAAAAGGGATGAAACAAGACTAAAATATTTTAAAAATATAGACTAAAATTTAAAAATAGAGACTACTGCATACAAATCTGAGATCTAAGTGAGATGAAATTTCCTAGTAAAATATCAACTCTCAAAATGGACTCAAGAAGTGTTATTGATTTTATCACTTTTTCTTTTCTTTTTTTTAAGTATTTTATTTATTCCAGAGAGGGGGAGAGAGAGAGAGAGAGAGAGAGAGAGAGAGAGAGAGAGAGAGAGAGAGGCAGAGACACAGGCAGAGACAGAAGCAGGCTCCATGCAGGAAGCCTGACGTGGGACTCGATCCCAGGTCTCCAGGATCAGGCCCTGGGCTGAAGGCAGCACTAAACCGCTGAGCTACCAGGGCTACCCTCATCATTTTTTCTATGAGAAATTGAAAAGGATTCATTCTCTCAACCCCCAATCCTGGCCCAAGGCCCTAGGTTCAAATAGTTTTTTGGGTAAATTCTACCAAACCTTCAATGAATAAATGATGTCTGTAAGTACAGAAAAACAGGTAAATTTCCCAACTAATTCTACTAGGCTAATATTAATTAACGTGATATCAATGTTGGGTTAAAATAGTAAGCCCCCTAGGGATGGCTAGGTGGCTCAGCAGTTGAGCGTCTGCCTTTGGCGCAGCACATGATCCCGGAGTCCTGGGATTGAGTCCCACATTGTGTTTCCTGCATGGAGCCTGCTTCTCTCTTTGCCTCTCTCTGTGTGGCTCTTATGAATAAATAAATAAAATCTTTTTTAAAAAAAGTAAGCCCCCTAAAAAAATAAAATCCATGGAACAAATTCACCTTAAATATACAGAGGTAAATATAACAACCACGACCAAGTAGAGATATAGAAGTGGTTCAATGTTAGAAAATCCATTAATGTAACTTATTTTATGCATTTCTTATGTTTATTATTAAATAAACCGTTATTGAATGCCTACCACATGGCAGACACTGTTCTGGGTATAGGAAAAATGCCCCACAGCAGTGAAAAAAACAGACTCCTTGCCCTCATGGATCTTAGAAATCAGTGGCAGGAAAAAGAAAACAAGATAAATAATAACTTCAGAGTGTTATTTATTCTATGAAGGGCATCTCCACAGTGATGTAATAAAAATAAATGGGGAGGGAATACATATTTAAGCAGCTCTTTTCTCTTCTTTTTTAGATTTTTATTTATTTATTCATGAGAGACAGAGAGGGAGAGGAGAGAGAGGCAGAGACACAGGCAGAGGGAGAGGGAGAAGGCAGCTCCATGCAGGGAACCTGATGTGGGACTTGATCCCAGGGCTCCAGGATCACGCCCTGGGCCGAAGGCAGGCGCTAAACTGCTGAGCCACCCATGGATCCCCCATAAACAGCTCTTTTCTAACATGTTTTATATATTTGAGTTGAAACCTGAAGATGGGAAGGAACTTTCCAGAAAGAGGAAAAAGCAGGAAGATCATACTAGAGGCAGGAAAGGGCAAGGAGGTTTGAGATGAAAAAGGACTGGTATTTTGGAAATCAAATGGTGGAGAGGGGTTAAAGACACAAGGGGATGCCGTAGGGCAGGGGTCTGCAAACTATATAGCCCCTGAGCTAAATCTGGCTTGCTGACAGGTTTTGTGAATAAAACTCTATAAAACAGCCAAACCTATTCATTTACATACTGCCTATGGCTGCTTTAGCTATACTCTGGCCAAGTTGAATAGTTGTGAATGGAGACTACATGTCTGACAAAGGCAAAAAGATGTATTATCTGGCTATTTAAAGAAAGTGTGCCCTCATCACAGGGCCTTGCGCATCCTGATAGGAGGTGCGGATTGTCTCTAAGTGCAATGGAGAGCCACTGGTGAGATTCAGACAGGAGTATGGCATGACCTAACTTCCATTTTGAAAAGCTGTCTTTGAGATCACAATATTGGTTGCCTTTGGAGTCGGATATTGACCAGGAGAGGGCATTAGGGAGACTTCTGAGGTGCTTAAAATGCTTTGTATCTTGAACTGGGGGGATGGTTTAATATTTTTAAGGTGTATTTCTTTTTGTATTTCAAGCTATATTTTTAAGACTTTAACACATTGTACAGATCATGTCTTAAGAGAAAAGTTTTGGAAAGCCCATAATGGACCACAAACCAAATTAAGGGAAAAGAGAGTATGAGAATGTAATTTGCAATATATACCAAATACTCAATAGTCATTAGCAAAGAAATCAGAAAATTCAAAAGATATAATTTAAAATCAGTACGATATGGAGTAATGGGAATGTAAATTAGTAAAACCTTTTCAGAAGATTATTAGTCAATATCCAATAAAACAAAAAATTTAAGTACTCTTTAACCGGGCAATTTCACTTCTAGGGATCTATCTATCCATTTAACAGAAATTCCTGAATACAATCCACAAGTATGTGTATGTCCTAACGATGTTCAGTGCGGGATCTAAACTGAAAAACCAGTAATTGCCTAAAATTGATACATGGGTACACCCAAGCTGTGGAAATATGTGCAGAAGTATATTAAAGATGCTAGAGATAAGCGTAAACAGCAAATCATGCCATGCCACAGAATTTTTTTTTCAGGGATACACACCAAACTGCTGAACGTTTGGAGTTTTGAGAGGAAAGTTGAAAGCATAGGAGGAGGTAAAGGGGTTTTTCACTCCACCCCAACATTTTATTATTAAAAATTTCAAACATACAGCAAACCTGAAAGAACACCAATATATACCTACTTCTAGATTTTGTCATCAAAATTCTACTATATTTGGGTCTTACATTTTTTAATACAATATACTTTCTTATGTTTATGTGCTTTAAAAGCACAAATAAAGTGCTTTTAATATTATCTTGCCCACAGTAGGTGTTCAATAAGTGTTTGCTTTTCAGTCTGTAATGCTCTTTTTCTTGCTAGCCAACAATATAATTTAAATACATAGTTTGGATTTTTTAGCACCTGGACATTGCCTTTTGTAATAAAAATATGTTTTTAATGATGAATAAATACTTTCATAGTCAGAAAAATGAAATATATTTTTATAAATTATTATTCCCCTCTTAATTCTTCTAGTTATCAATTTTTCATTTATGTATCCAATCCTAAAAATAAAAATGATGAACACTTAAGAGTAGTAATGCAGTACCGCTTTATTCCATGCTTGAGATAAAAATCATTCCATTATTTCATCCCTGAAATGGCTATCTTGCTTTTAAAACTTGTTATTTAAATCAACCTTTTCCACACCTTTCTACAACATTTTTCCCTATATCTGGATATTACTTTAATTGTATATTTTTGATCCAGTTGTCTTTTCAGTTTCAAGCCTGTTGCTGATACATGTCATACCAAGATTATATATGAGCTAATATTATGACTGCAATGTAAAAAGAGAAAAAAACCCTGAAAAGCAGTAAATGTAGAAAATTATCATCTTTCTTCCTCTAGGACTTTCGCTTTTATTTTCTTTGCATTTTATTTGGTCCCCATTGCACATGCTTACATGCCTGTAGTACTATCATTCCCCTTCCATCTCTGATAAAATATATTGGACAGCAGTTGCTGATGACGAACAGGCATTTTCAGATTAACTTCCTACTTCTGGTACAGGAGAATTAAACTTCTCAGGTTAGTATTGTCTGTGATACATAATAAGAAACATAAAAATGAAAATTCCAAGCCTGCCCACAAAAATCACACATTCAAAAAAGCAATATTTACATAACTGGTACACTCAAAGACATAAAAATGGCGTTTCATTAATGCGAATTATTAAGGAATAAATCACGGAGCATCCTTTTTTGAACGATTTTTATGCCGAATTCAAATCTATACACTCGCAAAGCAACACAGAAAGTACTATTTCCACAACTAGAAGGGGAACGAAAAGAAGATGATTCCACCGTGGGCAAACGCACACACAGTATGTATGCCAGATTAAATCTGAGATGCATTCAGACACTTCCTGATGGCCACTAGAATAATCAAAGCAAGACACGGGCTGTGCAAATTTCATTAAGCGAGCGCCAATTCGACATTCAAGAGCATTTGTTTATTCCCACTCACGGCTTGAAATGAACAATACCAAAGCATCCTCGTTTCCCTTCCCATTAACTAATTTTTTAACCCCTCCGTCATTCCCTCCCAAAAACTATTTTTTTAACCCCTCCGCAATTCCCTCCAATTACTTACTGTTGAAATTGTGTTCCTCGGGTTGCTTGTTGGTTAGCCAAATATCTCCATACGGATCTTCGTTATTCCACAGGGCCAGGTAATGACTCTTCCCGCCTCTTAAAGGCCTCTCCGGTACCTCCTCGTGCGCACTATTTCTGAATGGAGTTTCTAAAGAAATAGCCTCTAAGGCCTCCCCACAGTGGACGTTATCTATGCACAGAATCCCCTGGCCTAACCTTTTCTCGTTGTAAAGACACGAGACCCTGGAAATTTTCATTTCTATGCCCACCTTGAGGATATTTTTGTATACGAGAAAGTTCAGGCTGGGGTCCAGGTAGCACTTCTCCTGGTACACCCCGTCCGAAATCGTCACATCATAGCAGTAAAGGGGAGGTTTGGGTATGGTGTCGCGTGGCTCATCCTCTAACAGGTACCTCTGGACGGCCAGCACAGCGACAGGTACCACCTCCGACGGGGTGACCCACTGCAGGGGGGAGTCGGTTATCTGCTCAAGAACCTTCTGGATCCAGGACCTGCGCCCCTGACTTCCGACCCTTCGGATCACGCCTCCCGGGACCCCAGCCCGATTTCTGTCAGGATTCGGAAAATCTAGCCCAGCATGTGAGGGGCCGGCCTGAGGCTGACCTAACTCACCAGACATGGTGGGGGCAGCTGCGTACTCTCTTCACTACCCAAAGCTAGTCTGCCGGGTCCAAGGCTGAGGACTACGAAACGGCGCGCTCAGGCAATGATCGCTACTCTGCTCCCGCGGACTGACGAGGCTCCGCCTCCTAAGCGAGGCTGCAAAGACGTTCCGCTAGCCGTCGTCAGCTCTCTCGCCCCACCCCTCTCTCCGCGCGCTTCCAACTCGCAGGCACTGTTACTAGGCAGTCACACGCGCGGTTACGTAGCAGATCCTCCCACCTGGTGCCAGCAGGGTCGCCAGGGGAGGAAATGGGGGGGGGGGAGACAGCTTTGGTCGCCATGGTTCCCAAAACGTCGCAGGATGAGGGAGGGGAGAAGCACCCGTGGCTCTTTTAGAAAGGAGAGTGCTGAGAGGCAATGGAAAAGAGAGAGAGGATGAAAGCAAGGTATGAGTAGTCCTAGCTCAGGTGTTTGGGAGTTTGGGCCTTGGGCCAGTTACGGAAAGTAAATTTGAGTTCATGAATATACATGGATGCCATACCACAGGTCTCTTATAGTATGAACGAAGAAACCCTAGATAATGTATGCACAGCCTTCAGGAGAGTCCCCAGCACAGAAAGCCCTCCATAAACGTTAGTTGCTATTGCTATAAGTATTAGCATAATTGTCTGTAGTGATTCCCTGAGTGGAGGGTTGGTGAATTAGTGATTAAGTGCAAATGAAAACAGAAAATTATAGAACCGGCTTGGTAGAGAGCTGCCTTTAGGTTAGAATTCTTAAAATGTACTTATGTTTCATACAATACCTGGCTTAACAGACAGCTAAGATGCAGAATGTCAGAAACTGCGTTTCTAAACTATAAAGAACATATACGGAAAGAATGTAAAGTGAAGAAGTTGATCAGACTAGTCCGAATTAAAAATATACCATTTGTTATATGTACCCAAGTGTTCTAGTATAGGGGCATATTTCTGAGATACTTGGGTTTGGTTCCAGACCACTGCAATATGAATATCACCATAAAGCAAGTCTAATGCATTTTTGGGTTTCCCAATGCATACAAAAGTTACGATAATACTACACTGCAGTCTACTAGGTGTGCAGTAGCATTATGACTAAAAAGAACATTGAACATACCTTAAAAGTATTGCTAAAAACGCTAATCATGATCCAGGCTTTCAGGAAGTCATAATCATTTTGCTCATTGCCTCAGTGTTGATAGCTACTGACTGGTCAGGTTAATGGATGCTGAAGGTTGGGATGGCTAGGGCAACTTCTTAAAATAAGAAAATGATGAAGTTTGATTAACTCTTCCTTTCACGAATGATTTCTCAATAGCATGAGATGCTGTTTGATAGCATTTTACCCACAGTGGAACTTTTTTCAAAATTGGAATCAATCCTATCAAACCATGCTTCTGCTTTGTCAACTAAGTTTATATCATATTCTAAATCCTTTGTTGTCATTTCAACATTCTTCACATCATCTTCACCAGGAGTAGACTCCATCTCAAGAAACTAGTTGTCATTTCAACATTCTTCACATCATTTTTCCATAAGAAGCAACTCCCCATCCCTGAAAGTTTTATCATGAGATTGCAGCAATTCTATCACATCTTCAGGCTCTACTTCTAATTCTAGTTCTCTTGCTATTTCCACCACATCTGAAGTTACTTTCTCCACTGAAGTCTTGAAACTTCAAACTTGTGAAACACAGAATACTTGAGAAGTGCAGTAAAGTGAAGTGTGATAAAATGAAAGAATATAGTAATTGTCCTAAGAATACTTTTCAAAGATGGTTATAGGCTTGTTTTGATTATACTAATCTTCTTTTACTCTCTATTTCATTGTTACTTATTAAGTATTTATGAACTCCCCACTATGAGACAGGCACTGTTCTAGGCCATTGGGAATAATAGTAGTCAGGCTCCTTTAGTCAAGCTTCTTCTCATTTGCTTGGACTGAAAAACCCTGACATTATTAATGTCTAACAAATTATTCATTATACACATATTTCTTGAGTATCTGCCCTGGGCCAGATACAATCTTGCTATGGAGACCAAAAAACATAATAAGGGGAAAGGTAATAGAGGGGCTAGGAGTTAATATTTTATACAGAGGAGTATGATGATTAGGGAAGGGCTCTCTAAGAGATTGAACAGAGTGGAGACTTACAAGAAGTGATGGATATCTTGGGAAAATGCATTTGAATCCAAGGGAACAGCAAAAGCAGATTCCATGAGCTAAAAGAATGCTTGCATTTTCAAGGAGATATAAAAGCCATTGACATGAGTGCAAGGGTGAGGGGGAGAGTGTTAGGAGATAAAGGCAGAGAGGTAGCAGGGCTCTAGGCTTTCCTCTGCTTCGAGGAGATTGAGCCCCACTTCCTTCATGAGGACTCCCATAACCAATTCATTCTAGAATGATTTCTCATCAGTATCACTTTGTATCACTCATTTAGCATTCATCATCTAATACCTTGTAATTAAAAACAAAACTTCTAATGTATGTAGTTTGACCCTCTAACTCAGGGTTTCTCAACCTGGACACTCTTGACATTTTGGGACACAAAATTATTTGTTGTGGGGATGTCTTGTACACTGGAGGATGTTTAGCAGCATTCTTGGCCTCTACCAACCAGACACCTGCCCCCACCCAAGTCATGACAACCAAAAATATCTCTAGACATGGACAAATGCCCCCTGGGGGACAATATTGCCCCTAGTTAGGAACCACTAATTTAACTAGACTGTAAGCTTTTTAAAAAGCAAAACCTGATTTATCCTTTTTGTTTTGTATAGTTCTTTCATGACTGCCATGCATAAAAGGTACTCAAATATTTTAAATGAATGAAACATGTAATTCCTCCTGCCTCCCCACCAAATGGAATATACGTAAGTGTGCCTCTCTATAAACAAATACAATGAACAAAAATCCAAATTTACAAAACACAAAATAATCAAGCTCCTTGAGTGTTGGTACTTTATTATGTTCACTGCTGAATCTCCAGTGCAAAAATAAGTATGTAGCATATAGTAGGTGCTCAAGAGTATTTTTTTTTCAAGAGTAATTGTTAAATGAATAAATGAAGTTTGAGATTTTTATTGGATTTACTGCAAGGGACATTAAATATCAAGTATCTCTATTATTTATCCAAGGAGGACTGGTTTGAAATTTTTCGTTCTGCTATATCAGCACCCCCTAAACAATATACTCAGTGAAGTTTATGCATAATAGTATTGTATTCATATTCTATGTCCTTCCAGCTAATTCATAAGAGATGAATATTGATAGTGGTGCTCAGTAGTTAATTAGTGGAATCAGGAAAAATAGCACCCATTTTTTTTTGCTTTTGTTTTTTACAATGCTACACACAATATGAAACTGATGTGCTGCCTACTGCGCTAATGAGGCAGGTTACTACACACAATAAAGATGTACTATGACTATGGGCATATATTTGGAGTCTTACATTGTTCTACTGACAATCTACTGATATTGCCTGTCCCTAAGAATTAAGGTGTCTACTTGGGTAGTTATCATGCCTACGTATAAATGTTCCCCGATGTGGCATTATAAGTGTCTGTTTCAGGGTTACTTACACAATAGAGTTAGTAAACGACCTTTAAAGCCAATAATGTGTATTGTTTAGGTTATTGATTTTTTTCCTCCCCTCAGATCTGGATGATCTGTTATAGTGCTCCTGCCAAAAGCATAAAATAGTAAAAGCAGGCGAGCTAATATTTTCTTTTATTGAATGATGATATTCTACGATATTTGAAACACTTAAAATACATCATGAAATTAATTTTGGTAGTCTACTAAATTCAGTGTGCAGATAATAGCCACATTAATTTTCCTCATCTTTAAAATTGGGCTAATGAAAGTAGTCAAAGTTGTTAAAAAATTAAGTAAGTTCGGGATCCCTGGGTGGTGCAGCGGTTTGGCGCCTGCCTTTGGCCCAGGGCGTGATCCTGGAGACCCAGGATCGAATCCCACGTCGGGCTCCCGGTGCATGGAGCCTGCTTCTCCCTCTGCCTGTCTCTGCCTCTCTCTCTCTCTCTCTCTCTCTCTCTCTCTCTCTATCACAAATTTAAAAAAATTAAGTTCATATGGGTAAAGTGCTTAAAACAGTGTCTGGCACACACTAAGGGTTTAATGAATGCTGGGGATTGTTAATATTATTCTACAAAGAAGATAATGGCATAACATAAAATCATAGAATGGTAGAACTGTAGAGCCATTAGATAGCCACTAGTTTGGTGTTCTTCAGACTGCATTGTGAGGCATTATTGAGGGCATGAAGTCAATTTACTGAGGAACAACCAGCAATTAAAAATATGGAAAAAGGGGATGACTGGATGGTTCAGCGGTTGAGCATCTTTCTTTGGGTCAGGGTATGATCCTGGAGTCTCAGGATTGACTCCCACATAGGGCTCTCTGCGTGGAGCTTGCTTCTGTCTCTGCCTCTGTCTCTGTATCTCTTATGAATAAATACGTAAAATCTTTAAAAGAATGAAAAAGAATAGAATAGAGAATGTCAGAGTGCATCACACAAAGTGGCAGTAAGGATGGTTTTGTAAAATTTTTGTTTCAGATTTGTTGGTGTGTATGTGTGTGTGTGTGTGTGTGTGTGTTTGTATACTGAGTTGTGAATGTTTTTCTTACTCTAGATTGTGGCCAGAAAAGCTTAAAAACAACTGCTCCAGTCCAACCTCCTTTTACTACAAATGAAGAAATTGAGGCCCTGAAAAGGGAACTAACATGACCAAGATCACCCAGTGATAAAGTGACAGAGAATCAGAACTACTATCCAAGTCTCCTGATTACCAAGCAATCTCCTTTCCATGACATAAAGCTGAACGGATCCTAAGTTATCCCCAAACATATCAATTTATTTGAAAAACCTTATTTTATTATAATTTTTGTCATTTCCATTTGAATAATCTTGCTTAATCTTCTCATTCATTTCACCATCCTTTCATTTATTTGCATTAGGTAGGCAAGCCAACATCAT